CTTTCAATGGGTTATGAATATTTGTCATTGTTTAGGGTGGTTGGTTACAAGTTGTTATTGGTAATGATTTTTTTTCAAAAGCTGAACAAAGGAGATTAGATTTAGTATTCTTGTTTTGAAAAAGAAAAAAGGGGATATAGAAATGATAGGATAAAGAGTAGATTATTGAATCAGTTTGAAAAAGCAACTACTTGTTTTAAAGGTTTTACATTGATATGGATCTTTGTATACTGACACAATGTTGAGATTATTTTTGTTAGAACATACTGTATGTACATTTCTAATCTTGTTCAAGGTATTGTATCTATACATCTCATTTAACAATGTAATGCAAATTGCTAATCCTTGAAAGTTATTATTACAAACTATTTAGGATAATAAAGAAATGCAGGTTAGTCGTTAGCACCTATTACAATTAAACTTGTTAGGTATGTTTTCAAGGTCAACATATATATTAGTTAGACAGGTGTCTTCAAACACTTCAGCGATCTACACAATATGGCATTTAAGATGTTTTAATAACATAGGTTCTCTTTTTATGACAATGAGACATATCTGCTCCTGGCAGCACCAATCTGCTTCAGAGAAGATGATGGGCATTGAAACTCCATGTGGAGTTTACTTTCTTTGTGGCGAAAGTTAGCCACTGGGCAAGAAAGTACCCTTGCCTTGACTACTGACAGTGTGCTGTCCAAATGGGACAAGCAGGACACAAAAGAAAGAACTGCAAAACTTTGCCACAACAAGGTAGGAAGGCCCTTCAGAAAATCCTGATTCACAGATGAGTCTGTTAGATATTAGGCTGTAGACTGAAGATGGATGCCCCAATGTCGCAAAGAAACCTTGGGTCCAGGCTGTCAGCTGTTTCTGTCTTTTCTCACATTTTTTGGTAGTCTCTTGCTTGCACTTCCTGCTTACTCAGGTAATATTATTTCCTTCTCAGGTCTCTGAGGGAGTTGAAGACTTCATAGTTGTTATAGTTTTCCTTGTTACCAGATTCAGAAAAGAAATTCACTAAAGAAGTGTAAAGTGTATAAGGTTGAGAAACATTAAAAGATAATTTTGGTAATGCAAGTTAGAATATTAAGTGAATTAGGTACAACCTTTTGGATTCATCAAGATAGGAAAGATATGGAACATTTTCTCTGAATTTTTCAATTGTTAATGGACTAGACATTGTTGATATATTTATAGACTGCATATATTGTATATAGTTATGGTACTTATTTTATATAGTTTTTCTATGTTAGTTAAAACCTTTTTTTATTTTAGACAAATCAGGAAATGTAGTGATTATTTTATTTGTCCTCTAACAAATAAAGCTTGCCTGGAGATCAGAGTGCAGAGCTAGCCACTAGTTAACCATAGAAGCCAGTCAATGGTGGCACACACCTTTAATCCCAGCACTTGGGATCTTATGCTTTTGATCCCAGTACTTGGGAGGCACACACCTTTAATCCCAGCACTAGGGAGGTAGAGACAGGATGTGATATGACTGGGCAGAGAGAGGACTATAAGGTGGGAGGAGACAGGAACTCAGTCCCTCTCAGGCTGAGGATTAGGTAGAGGTAAGAACTCTAGTGGCCAGCTGCTCTGCTTCTCTGATCTTTCAGCATTTACCCCAATATCTGGCTCTAGGTTTTTATTATTAAGACCAATTAGAATTCACATTACACTGAACCAGCACAATTCCTAACTATACTCTAAATTATTATCCTTATATTCACAGATAAGTATAGTTCTCACCCCTTGTCAAAGAAACTTGTCTTTGCAACAGAGACCATTACAAAAAAAGCACAACTAAGAGATCAGGAGACGTTGGTGCCCAGTCCCAGGTGGCACATGCACAACATATTTCTTTGCACAGAAGGCTCAGGGGTCACCGAGGAAGAGGGGGTGGGAAGATGACAACAGCCAGAAAGACAAGAAGGTTGGCATGAAGTCATGATTGCTAAAAATGTTAGAGAGGCAACACCCATGAAATCTCATGGTTGCCTCAACAGAAGCTGAGCACTACCACCAGTGGACACACTAACATGTAATGGGGAAAGCTCACAGGCCTAAACCATAGACAAAGAATGACAGGCACCTGGTAAATGCTGAGAGTTCAAGAAATGGTCTTCGGCAGGGAAGAGCCTCCCCCTTCCATGTTGGAACCCTCATACTTGGTTGGTAAAAATGCAATGGTGTGTTGGTGGCTTGTCATAAAGTTACACCTCACCAAAATACCACAGCACAAGATGACCCACTGTCTCTCTTCACCCATGCTTCTAGGGAAATTGCACACCCTGGGAAACCCTTCTTTCAACCCCGGACCCTGAATACTTACTCAGAAGACAAGAGCATGATCCACAGAGTAACTATTTCTCAGTGCTTACAGAGGCTGTGTTTTTTAACTGAACACTGGAAACAATCCAATGACTATCAGCTGATGAACAGGAGACAAATTATGGTCCATTCACATAATGACTCCCACTGAGCTATTAGAGGAATGATCTGCTAGATGAATCTCAGAATCACACCAAATGAAGGCAACCAGACACAAAAACACTGTGTTCTGAATTCTTCTGATTATATGAAATTCAACAAAAGGCAAAACTACGTGGCAGGAAGCAGATCAATGGTTCTAATGGCTTGTGGTAAGAAAAGGGGCCAACGGGAAACCTAGGAGGCTATGGAAGTGCTTACATTGTGGTTATGGTGGAGTCATGAATTTGTTGAAAGTTATCACACTGTATCCTTTAAAATTAATGAATTGGGCCGGGCGGTGGTGGCGCACGCCTTTAATCCCAGCACTCGGGAGGCAGAGCCAGGCGGATCTCTGTGAGTTCGAGGCCAGCCTGGACTACCAAGTGAGTTCCAGGAAAGGCGCAAAGCTACACAGAGAAACCCTGTCTCGAAAAACCAAAAAAAAAAAAAAAAATTAATGAATTGTACTGTAAGCTAAGGTTTAAAAAGCCATTAAAAATAAAGAAATGGCATCAAAGAGCTGGAAGAAGGGGTGGGATGTTGTGGAACACTGTCTTCTGGGCCTGGATGGCTGTAGCATGTGTGAAATGTCAGCAGCTGTGGCTACCTACACAAGATCTGCATGAGGCTGGGTGGGCCTATTAACATTCCCCCATGGAGCAGAGACAAGCTCCCAGGCCCTGTCCCTGAGGATCTCTAGGTTGCTAATGGTGTAGTCATTGTAAGGTGCCCATGTTCCTGTAAACAACATTAGAACACACACACACACACACACACACACACACACTGAGAGAGAGGGGGAGGAGGAGGGGGAGGCAGAGGGAGAGGGAGAGGGAAAGGGAGAGGGAGAGAGATACAAGTGCTTGCTTCTCAAGCCTGGAGATCTGGTTGGGAAAAACTGACTTTACAAGGTTGCCCTCCATCTCCATGTGAACCCCATTAAAGATTTTAAGGCATGAGAAAAAAGAGGAATTAGCTAGGAAGAGGAAGAGATTGAGTGGGAAGGTAAGAAAGGATAAGAAAGTAATGGGGCAAATGTAGCCAAAAACATTGAATATGTGTATGAAAAGTCTTAATGAACCCATTACTATACATAATTAATATATGCTAATAAAACAGAAATGCATAATAATAGTGTTATTAGTATCAGACAATAGGGATTTTTTTACATAATAAGCTGCTGCATATCCTCAGGTCAATGGTGGTTTCTTGGTTTGGCATTGATAGCTGCTGGCGTCTGAAGAACACACATCATCTCTCAGTGGAAAATGAATCGGCTTTTGAGGAAACTCTGAGCAAATGAGGAGAACTGTGGTGTGAGAAACAGAGGTTCATTTGATCTGAGCGGCTTCAGTGACGCTTCGGGGGCACAGAAAGAATGTTCTGAAATGATACAGGCCCTTTGGCTTTTGTTTTAGCCATTTTTCTCCTTCCCATGAAACAATGAGTTCTTTCAGTTAGCTTTACCAAGAAGCTGCGGCAGAGGAGCAGGCTGCATCACCATCCTGACTCACCCGGAAAGCAGCTCCGGAGTCAGGAGCGCTTGCTGTGGGTCTTGAGCTGAGAGATCTGGCTCTTGACATTCATGTGACCTCACTTGTGTGTCATGACCCCTGGGCTGAGGAAGAGCTACGACCTCGAACCCTGGTACAATGAAGATGCTACAGGCAATGTTAATCCCCATTCACACAAGAAAAGCAAGTGGGGGCTGGGGAAACAACTCAGCAGTAAAGGCACTTACTGTCAGACCTGACAATCTGAGATCTACCCCAGGACCCATGGGGTAGAAGGAAACAATTTATACAAGTTGTCCTCTCACCCCCACATCTGTGCTTACATACATATATACACAATACATACATGCATACATATACACACATACATACACATACACACATACAATCAGACACACACAAATACATACATACACACATATACATACACACACATACATATACACACACACATACATACATATACATACACACATGCAATCAGGCACACACAAATAAAAACATATACACACATACATACATACACACAACTACATACACACAAATATATACAATAAATTTTCTAATGCAATTAAGAAAAAAGTGGGAAGGGCACTAGCGTTGATTTAGCATTCCAGGCCAGGGAGGGAAGCAGGCATTTTGCCAACTATCATCTCATTTGATCCCCCCATCATCCTGCAAAGCAGATAAAATGTCACCTTTGTGGAAGGCGCTCTAGGGTTTATAGACAGAGACCCTCCAAGGACTCAGAGCTAGATAACTGGTAAAGCCATGAAGACTCTACCCCTGCCAGCTCTCAGGCAGTCAGAGACAGAGAGACAGACAGACAGAGCAGTTCTGTCCCTCACGGACGTCTGTCAGCACACCAATACGTGACTCTGCACTCACAGATAAGCAGGCCACGCTGAGAATGAATCTCAGAGGCTGCATCTGTGTCTGCCTTCCACTTATTTTCAGAACTGCCATCTCCTGCTTGGCCAGGAAGTGGGAAGAAATGTACGCTAGCACACAGGCTCCATGGTAGAGGCAGCTCGAAATCCAGAGCCAACTCATCCTCTCCCCGTGAGCCGTTCAAGGCCGAGGTCACCCTAGCTGTCCACACACCAAGACCAGTTTCCATCTGCCCTGTGCATCCTGACTGCATTCAGGAACGCACAGACTTCCTTTTCCTTTCTCTGCTTCCTTCCTGTTTCCCAGCTGCTTCCACGGCTGCAGCCACTTCTGCAGCCCAGGCCTTTGGATCCTGGACTCTTGCAACGGCCGCTGAAATGCCCTCTCTGCAGCTCCTTCGCCCGTTTGAGGTCTGTCGATGGCCTCGCTGAACAATTGTTACATTCACATGTGTCCGAGACTGAGCAGGCCATGGATGTCCTCACACTTCCCGTAAGCTCCCAACTGGAGTCTGAAGTACTCAGATCCTTTCACAGTGGGTGCCTTTGCCCACACTGGTTCCATGACCTCCGATGCCCACACTCTATATCGCCTACTTTCTATATTGATCAAGATGGCATCAGCCCTCCATGTTTGACTCATGGGTCACCAAGGCAGTAAATGTCAAGTTTTCACAAGGATTGACTTCCACACATCACAGACGGGCCTGTCTGTCAGCACTTGATTTATTCTTGCTACCAGAATTGCTTCCTGCCTAGACGTGAGCTACCGTTTGGGATGACACCTGTCGCCTGTGTCCCCACATGCTGGGTTCCAGACTTTGTAAATAAGTTTGTAGATAATCAGTGTGTTGGACAAGTGCCTAGTCAATAAAAGATCAATAAATGTCGAAGCAAACTGGCTGTTCCAGCCCATGTCGTTACTCATGACATTTGCCCGAACGCAGACAACCCCAATAGAAGGTTCTCATTCTCCTAACGGCAGGACCCCCCCACTGCAATTTCATTTTAAAATAAAAATTTAAAACATGGATTTATTCATTGTATTTTATGTGTATGAATGTTTTGCCCCCATCTATGTATGTGCATCGTATGTGTGTAGTGCCCGCAGAAGTCAGTAGAGGGCGTCAGATCCCCTGGAACTAGAGTTACCAGTGGTTGTGTGCCCCACACGGGTGCTGGCACCGGAGCTCTTCTGCAGGACAAGGTCTCTTAACCCCTGAGCCATCTCTTCAGCCTCTCACATGCAACTTCTCTCTTTCTTAAAAAAATGTTATTTTTACTTTTATTGATTCTTTGTGGATTTCACATCATGCATTCTGATCCTACTTATTTGCCTGTCTCCTGAAATCTGCCCTCTGCCCTTGCAACTCCCGCCCCCCAAATCAAAACCAAACTTAAAAGAAAAACCAAACAAAAGAAAGAAACAACAAACACTCATGGCCTCTGCCTCCTGAGTACTGGGATTAAAGGCTTGTGCCATCACCACTCAGCTAAAATAGCAGTCGTTTAAAGTGGGAGATTACTTCTGTCTTGGGTTCAAGAAATCTAAGGCTGGGAGTCCCAAGCAGTTGTGGCATCGGGGACCTACCCTCCTTATTCCTTTTACTTGGCATGACTTCCAATTCTGTGGAGCCTCATGGTTCAAGATAGTTGTTCAGTCCCCAGTGAGGATGCTCTCATTCAGGAGCTGAGAAAGACTGAACTAGGAAGCTCATCATGCTCTCCCAGTGATACGCACACCGTTCAGAGATCGCAGGTGTCAGGTGCAGAATCAAGGCCATCATTCCGGTGTGTCATGTGTCCGCTGGGAAAGTGAGGGTTGTGCGGTTAGAGAAGTGGGGTGACTGGCATGAGTTCAAGGCCAGCCTGGTCTTGATCGAGTTCCAGGACAGCCAAGACACAAAGACCTGTCTTGAAAGACCTCAAAACAACAACAACAGGAAAAAAAACTACCAATACCTGCTACTTTGGTCTTTTCTGCAACTTGCAGCTGAACCTAATCCTAATGAATGGATTGTCTCCAAGTCTGTCCCACTGCCCCCACAGGCAGGACTGCTAACCTCCATCTTGCCGATACAGTATCATGTTTACCACACTCCTGCACAGCAAAAGTGGCTCTTGCATCCCAAAGAATCAAATCTAGACTGCTCTGCTCAGCATTTAAAGCCCTATAACCTGGCTCCATTAGCAATGCGTACTGCAGCAACTCCCCCAAGGACACCACCAGCATGTGTGCATGCTTCAGCATTAACCCTCATTGCGTACCTCCACACCCATACCTCCACATGGTGTCTTCATTTCTGCTGTAATGAAGTTTATGACAACTAAGGTACTGGGTAGGTTATTACCCTTTCAAAATAAAATGTGAATGGAAACAACTTGAACAGCCCTTAACAGCTGAGCAGGTAAACTGTAACATGGTGAGATATTCTATGGAGGCAGGAATGATTCACTGCTTTGTATATAACATGATATACAACATGCATGCTAAATTATTAATTTAATAATGAACAAGATAAAATATAGAACTAATCTACAGTCCTAGACATCAGTATGATAGCTACATGGAAGGGTTAGCACACAAAAGTGGGTACGAAGGGCGTCTGGGTGCTGGGATTATTCTGTAGATAAATCAGGTTGTTGTTTACACACATGTTCACATCCAGCAGCAGCCTTGATTTGTGCACTTTTTATGTGTACACATCATGAAACGTTTACTTCTAAAAACTAATCTTTGAGCGAGGCGGTGGTGGCACACACCTTTAATCCCAGCACTTGGGAGGCAGATAGATCTCTGTTCTGAGAACAGAGCTTTGTTAGCACTGGATGCTTATCTGGGGTTATAACCCCACAGGGGAGCTCTTGCCTAGTATGTGCAAGGAGCTGGTGCCAGTTCCCAGCGTCTATTTATTTATTTATCGTGGTGCTGGGGACTGAACTGAGGACCTCATAACACACTAGGCAAGTGCTCTGCCAGCTGAACTGTACCTACAGCTTCAACCCCCAGCATCAAAAGGTAAGTAAATGAATGGATGAATAAATAAATGTATAAAAACACAGACACAGGATCACCAGAGTTTTGCTCAGTGAACAGTGTAGCCACTTGCCAGGTGTGTATCCCAGAAGATCCCTGTTGAGTCCAAGTGAATTATTGCCTACCCTCTGAAGGTACCTGGGTCAACAAATACTACGTTTTTTGTTTGTTTGTTTTGTGTTTTTTGTTTTTGTGAGACAGGGTTTCTCTGTGTAGCTCTGGCTGTCCTGGAACTCACTCTGTAGACCAGGCTGGCCTTGAACTCACAGAGATCTGCCTGCCTCTGCTTCCCGAGTGCTGAGATTAAAGGTATGTGCCACCACCGCCTCGCTCAAAGATTAGTTTTTAGAAGTAAACTTTTCATGATGTGTACAGATAAAAAGTGCACAAATCAAGGTTGCTGCTGGATGTGAACATGTGTGTAAACAACAACCTAATTTATCAACAGAATAAAGGCGTGCACCATCACTGCCCAGCGAAGCAGGAAGTTTGAAGAAAGCTTCACAGGGTTCTCTCCATACAGGGGCCCTTGTGCATCTTCTAAAGGGGAATGATTAGGAGAACAGGTCTGCACCGCTGGCCACTCTCTGAGCGCACTCTCAAGCTCTGTGTGGGAAGAGTAACACCTTTCTAAAGGTGTCTGTCTGTCCCTGCCGTAAAGGAAATGAGTCATCAGATGACCTTTAAAAATCTTGAAAACAGAAATGTGCCAGATGTGGTAGAACACACTCCAGTAACGTCTTCTTCACTCAAGAGGCTCTGTTAGGAGAATCATGAGCTCAATGCCAGCCTGAGCTACACCGTGAGACCCTGTCTCAACAAAATAAAAAATAATACAAGTGCTAAGTGGTTAAGAGCTCTTGCTGAGGATCCAGGCTCAGTTCCCAGCACCCACACAGCAGCTCACAGCCATCTCCAGACTCAGAGGATTCTGACCTATTAAGACACCAGGCATGCATGTGATGCTTGTGAAGGCAAATGCTCATACACATAAAATAACAATACATAAACATTTAAAAACAAAACAGAGAGATAATCCTGGACTCTTCAAGTAACCCTAACATAATCACAGGGTCCTCAACAGCAGTAGAAAAGAGAACCCGACATGGTAGGTGATGTTCACAGACAATAGGCCGAGTAATGCAGGAAGTCTCTGGAAGGATTGAGGGAAGGAAATGCAGGAGGCTCCAGTCCTGAGAACCCTGGATTTTACCCAATGAGAATCATTTGGAATCCAGACCTCCATAATAATAAGCTAGTAAATGTGTGTTCGTCTGAGCCATTGAACTTGCAGTGACTTTTTACATTAAAAACCTGATACAGACGCATTAGGGAATTCGGGGAACTGAAGACCACTTGCTGGGAATTTTCTTAGCAGGAAGCTTGCCCTGTGTCAGGAGGCATTCTTGGTATTTCACTGGAAATGTAGGAGGACTAGGTGCTGAAAATTTCTAGACTAAAGAAGTCACCTAATGCTGTTGTTGGGAAAACAGCCTGTCTTAAGGGTCCAGGACCAAAAGTTGTGGCGGAAACAAAACAACAACAACAACACACATACACAAAAAAGCCAGACGGTGGTGGGGCACACCTTTAATGGGAGGCAGAGGCAGGTGGATCTCTGTGAGTTTGAGGCCAACCTCGTCTACAGAGTGAGATCCAGGTCAGCCAGAGCTACACAGGGAAACTTTGTCTCGAAATACAAGACAAAGCAAAACACAACACAACACAACAAAACAGAAGTTGTAGTTGGTCAAAAAATAGAGAGCATACAAAAGAGACAGAAGTAGCAACTTCTAGTCTGAGTTTAAGAAGCCCGGGGCTCCAAAAGGGACTTAGCTGGAACGCATGATTCAAGGTTTTGAGATAGTAAAGGGAGCCTTCATTTTCCTCGTGGGCTCAAGGTAACTACAAGAATCTGAGAAACAGTACCGGCAGAAGGGCAACGAGAAGGGAAGGGAAGGGAGGGGTCAAACCAATAGGAGAGGAGAGCTACAGGCAGAGGGAACCGGACAGACACTGGGAGAAGCTGTTCTTGCTCTGAAAATGGAAGGAGGGTCTAGGAGCCAAAACCTGAGTCAGGGTTAGATGTCAGAAAACATGAGGGGCCACAGTTTCCCTGGAGACAACAGAAAGAATGTGCCCTGCTGACCCTTCCATCAGCCTCTTTGAGGCCCATCAGCTGCTGAGCTCTGGGGCTGCAAGTCATTGAATTAGTGTGAAGCCATTACATTTGTGGTGACTTGTAGCAGCCATGGGGAACTCTTACAGCAATTTTAAGTGGCAATGAGTATTCCGGTGGTACATCCACAGTGGACAGTGGCTTCTCTGTCCGTGCTCTTAGAACTTCGGATCTGCTTAGTCGCTGATTTTTATGTACAGCTATTTTGTGAAAATTTAGTTTCAACCAACTCACTGTGCAACCTTGAGTACTGGACAAATTCACATGAACTACGTTTGATCCTCAGAACCTATGACATGACCTATGACAGTATCTCACCTGTTAGCTGAGTGATCTGACTGAGCCCAAGGTAATGGTAAGTATAGACAGTGAGCACCAACCATTCCCCAGAGCCAGCCACTGCATCAAGCACTCCATGTGTGCTACATAGGTCAGTTTTCCCAACAATCCTACTCCTGGTTTGCAGATGAGGAAACTCAGGCACGGGGCCCAAGGCACTTTTAAAGTCCTTACAGGTGTGAGGAGCTGGGACTGGAACTCAGGCCCTTCAGATGTCAAGACAGAGCTCTGAGCTGTTTCCCTCATCTGCCAGGTCACTGACACTTCACTACTGACATTGGCTGAGGGCTCCGTCCAGTCCCGCCACTAGGTCACCTCCAGGCTGTGGTGACTGTCTGGCTGCTGAACTGTACTGCAGAACCGAAAGGTGACCTCATGGACTGGAGCTCCAAGAGCTCGCCAGACTCTTGGAAGAGCATCCCGCACTGTGTCCTAGCAACACTATGTGTACCACTCTCTGGGGTATCACCCCATGTTCACTTGAAACAGGGAAGGGAGTCCTGTTTAGCTTCCCCCAGAGAACTGGGACTCCCAGGAAAGGAGACTGAGCATGGTTCAGAACCAGCAAGCGAAGTCCAGGGGAACTCCTAGAAGGGCCCTTGCTGCCCTGGCTGTTCTCACCTCTCCATGGAGCTCTACCAACCCCAGCACCGCCTTAGTCACTGCTCACTCAGTCAGCTTTCCCTGAGACTACGCCTTCTCTCTCTTCCACCCCCACGTCTCTGTGCCTTCTCTTGGTTACCGATGAGAAATGCTTCTAGGCAAACTGATTTTTTCCAGATTCTCCAGTTGTTCATATTCCTTTCCTGTCTTTCAAAGAGCAACATCTCTTTGCTTTTCCTGAAACCTTGAGCCTCATTTCAATTTCCTTCCTCTTCCTCTTCTCCTCCTCCTCCTCCTCCTCCTCCTCCTCCTCTTCTTCTTCTTCTTCTTCTTCTTCTTTTCTTCTTCTTCTTCAGAAAGGGTCTCATGTAGTTCAGGTTGGCTTTGGACTTATAACCAAGATGGCCTTAAACTTCTGATCCCCGGCCTCCCTACATTTCAAGTGCTGGCATTATAGGCATGCACCACCGTGCCCAGCTTTCACCTAGCCTTCTGCTGTCAGAGATGGATGGTCTTAGTTAGTAGGAGTTTAGGGCTTGCCAGTTGTCCAAGGGTGTCTCAGATTTCAATTGTGCTATGACACCTCCAGCAACGAACCTCAGGCCTGGTGGCTCCTGATCGCCTGGGTCTGGACTCCCAAGCGAGGACCTGCAGAACCCTGGTTTATAGAAAAGAGTTGGCTGGTGGTTTAGGGGCCTGAGGCTGAATTCTATCAACTGGAGTAAAAGTAGGAACAGCAGGAAACAGAAAATGAAAACCTGCAGGCATTAGCCTTCAGTGGGATTTCTAACAGAACAAACTTCCCAGGCGTAGAGGAAATCTTCAAGGCCACAAACCCACCTTGGCATCTTGACCAGCTTTGTGAAACTACCTCTTTGACAGCAGTCAGGGGTGGTGGTGCGGGAATGGACAGCACAAAAACTCCATTAACACATACAAACTACCTGCCATCCTAGTGCATCCTCAAGAGGCTTTTCCCTCGAATGGGGTGGTGGTGGTGGTGGTGGTGGTGGTGGTGGTGGTGGAGGTGGTGGTGGTGGTGGTGGTGGTGGTGTGGTGGTGGTGGTGGTGGTGTGGTGTGGTGGAGGAGGAGGAGGAGGTGGTGGTGGTGGTGGTGGTGTGGTGTGGTGTAGGAGGAGGAGGTGGTGGTGGTGGTGGTGGTGGTGTGGTGGTGGTGGTGGTGGTGTGGTGTGGTGGAGGAGGAGGAGGAGGTGGTGGTGGTGGTGGTGGTGTGGTGTGGTGTAGGAGGAGGTGGTGGTGGTGGTGGTGGTGGTGGTGGTGGTGGTGGTGGTGGTGGTGGTGGTGTGGTGGTGGTGGTGGTGGTGTGGTGTGGTGGAGGAGGAGGAGGAGGTGGTGGTGGTGGTGGTGTGGTGTAGGAGGAGGTGGTGGTGGTGGTGGTGAATTCAGTGTTCACACAGACTCACTCTTTTTTTCCAGAAAGATGGGTGGCAGAGCTTGCTAACCATAGGAGAATTCTAGAACTACTCGCTGGATTTCTGTCTAATCTCATTTAATCCTGTAGGCATTATAATCCCCCTCAGATGGATGTGGAAACTGAGGAACAGTTATTGATATCTCCAAGTAGTCCAGCTTGTAAACTTGGCAGCTGGAATTTGAATGAGGCCAACTGGTTGCCAAGCATCTGTTCTTCATCCTGGCTTGGTCGCCTCTTCCTTGACAATTCCTCAAAGGCTAAAGGGAAGTGCTCTGCAGATGCATGTGGGAGTGCCATAGTTATCACTGTTGACTGAAGCATGTCCCAGAGCTGAGTATCTCCCAGTACACCTACCTATTCCTGGAGACCATACCAGGGAATTGTCTCCATATTATTCTGTCCTCTCCCCAAACTGTCCTCCAGGTTTCCAGCAACTACCACAAAACGCCCTCTTCCTATCCCTCTTCCGCAATACAAGGGAGTCGGAGCAGTTACAGAGAACGTAAAGGAAATCCAGACGTCCCTGGCCTTGAGATACCAGTCTACAAGGGAAACCGAATTATTTTCTACCTGGTAGATAGGACTGTCACTACAAAACCGCTCAACAAGTCCCCATTCCCTAGTCAGCGTGGAGCGGGTCTGGGTTTCCCTGCGGCGGGGTACAGCGCCCCCGCGGGGCACTCGGGGACCGCTGCGGCGCCGTGCGTCCCGCGCCTGGCCCGGCGTGGCAGGACTTCTCCCGGCCGAGGAGACCCGGTAGCGCCACCACCCTTCCCACCCTGCCCAGTGGACAGCGGCTCCCCGATTGCGTCGCGTGCGTCTGTCGGTCAGTGGGTCGGTCTGTCCGCGCCCGGGGCAGTGCGCCGCGCTCACCTGCAGCCACCGCCGCGGGTACCGGGGAAGCGAGGCAGGGGCGCAGCCGCGCGGATCTGTCTCCGTCGTCCGCCGCCTCGCCCCGCCGAGGACCGCAGCGCTCCTGGAGCACCGCTCCCGGGACGCGACGAAGAAGTCTGCGCCAACACCGTGTCCTGAGCCGCCGCCTTCAAGTCCCATCCCAGAGCGCTCCCCGCGCTCGCTGGCTGCCTGCGAGGCTCTGGGCGAGGGCGGCGCGGGGAGGCGGTACCGCGCGAGGGTGGGGAGCGGGCGGGCGGAAGGAGGGGTGTCCTCTTTGCGGATGGGAAGGCGGGGAGAGGCGGCGGCCAGAGCTGCCCCACCCTGCAGACAGCCCCCAGCCCGGGACCGTGGCCGCGCTCCCTGTCTGCTGCCAACCTCATTCTCCCGGTGCGTCCTCAGCCCGCGTGGGATGGATAGGTCTCCAGAGCTAGGAGCAACTGGAGGCTTTAGGAGCTTGTCGGGCGGGCGGAAGGAGGTCCTGGTAACAGGAGACATAGCAGGAGTACTAGAACCCGAATTGGGGATTATTTTCTGCAGGAGGCATCCATCGACCACGATGATGAAGACAGAAGTGGTGAGAATTGATGGTAACTGGTGACAAGGGCCAGGAGCAGTCTTGGCAGTCTAGGACCGCCCCACCAGCGCCAATTCATATTAACAGTATCCTTTGGCCTTGGACCAGCCCCTGGGGTGGGGAAGGAGATTAGGATGCCAAGATGAAGACTCGAAATTCCTCCCCTGAAGGAGCAGAGTCTAGTTCAGACAAGACTTAAAGAAATTATGGGCAAGACTTCTGTAACTTTGTTAAGCGAGGGAAACCTTACCTGAGAGAGTGGCCCTCCTTGGAAGGACAGAGAAAGCAGGCCTGGTCAGTAGCAGGGAACCGAGCTGACTCCCCCACTCTACCACATCTGGGATGACAGGACTCTACGGTAGACCAGAACATCTCCCAATGAAAACCCAGAATCTATCGGCCAACCGCTAAGCCAATACACCCAATCCGGGTTTTACCAAACCAACAGGGAGAATCAGAACTAACCACTTTCAAGCCTTCTGGATGTGTCCGTGTTTTGGGCTGCCTGTGTTTTGTCAATACCCATCAATTCCTATTCGATAAAGGGTGTTCCCTAGAATACAAATAAATGTCATGTGCAAGACCTATTCCTTCCCAAAGCTCCAGGGAAGTAAATAAAGTCTCAGCCATTGGCAGTGGTGGTGGTGCACACCTTTAGTCCCAGCACCCAGGAGATAAAGGCAAGTGGATCTCTGTGAGTATGAGGGCAGTGTGGTCTACATGGTGATTCCAGGCCTGCTGGGGTGCCATAGTGAGGCAGTCAAAAACAGAACACAAAGGGTTAACACACTCTGGCCTTACTGCCAAGAAATAAGCAGGCACTCACCTTCCTGTGTTCCTCACCTGAACCTTAGGCCCACAGGGTGCTGCTGGCAGCCTGCAAGGGTCAGAAAAGATTGTTCTGTTTGTGTGTTTGTTTTTTTGGGTTTTGTCTTTGGGAGGAAGAAGACGGAAGTCAGAAAATAGAGTAAATCTTCAGGAAATGTTTGATCCCACAGAAGAAAATTCTTCCTGAGTTAGAGCCAGTGAAACCCCCGAGGGGTTGGGAAAGCTCAGCTACAAATTATGGAAACTTATATTTAAAATGTGCATCTCTATTCCAAGACACCAGTGGGATCCAGTCATTTACCAGGGAAACAATAGTTATCTGGAAATCCTTCCAGTTTTTAAGAAGGCTCTGATTTAATAATGACCCCCATTATCTGGTTTGTGCTAGCTAAAATGGGTGTTCCCACCCTCCAGGGAGTTCATGGAGATTCTTCAGAATAGGAAATCTTTGGGTGGAGCAGGTCTGAGGGCAAGCAAGGCAAAGGGGTCAGTGAGTGGTTCTACCTGGTGGGATGTGCTTCAGGTCTGCAAATCATACATGCATACATACATGCATACATACCTACATACATACACACATACATACATACATACACACATACACACACATACATATATACATACACACATACATACATACATACACCCACACATACATATATACATACATACATACACACACATACATACATACACACATACATACATACATACATACACACATACACACATACATACACACATACACATATACATACATACACACATACATACACACATACATACATACATCCACACATACATCCACACATACATGCATACATACATACACACATACATATATACATACACACATACATATATACATACATACACACATACATACATACACACATACATACATACATACATACACACATATATACACACATACATACATACAGTGAATCAGATGGAAGTTCAGTGTCCTGAACTACAGTCGGAGCAATGGTTCACCTCTGGTACCTTGAGTGCAGGGCAAGGGGATAAATGGGGATTGATGAGAAGGGCTATTGGAGGAAAGGCCCAAATCTGCCTTTTCTGCCTGAGGTTCTGCTGATGTGCAGAAAACCTTGCTCAGAAGAAGCACGGGCTAAGGTTTCTAGCTCATGTGGGCACCCATATAAACAAACCAGAACGAAGGCAGTCGTGTCCAGAGCTCGTGGGATGACTGGTCAGACCTTGGTAGCTGTGCTGCAGATGCACTGGCATTCTCTGTCTCTATGGAGGGTCTCTGCTGGTTAGTGTTTTGTCAGCTCAATACAAGCTAGAGTCATCTGGGAAGAAGGAATTAAGAACATGCCTCCATCAGACTGGCCTGTGGGCAAACCTGTGAGGGGCAGTTTTCGTGATTAATGATTGATTTGGGAGGGTCCAGCCTGCTGTGGGTGGTGCCACCCATGGGCAGGTAGTCAGTCCTGGGTTGTATTTACAAAGGCAAGCTGAGGGGGCATAGTGGTGTGTGCACCTTTAGTCCCAGTCTTGGGAGGCAGAGGCAGGTGGATCTTTGAGTTTGAGGCCAGCCAGGTCTACAAAGAGCAAGTTCCAGGACAGTCAGGTCTACACAGAGTGAATTCCAGGACAGTCAGGGCTACACAGAGAGACCCTATTTCAAAAAATAAAAACAAACAAAAGAAGCAAGTCATGGAGAAATCTAGTAATTAGCATTCCTGCATGGTCCCTGCGTTGGTTCCTACTCCAGGTTCCGGTCTTGGCTTCCCTCAGTGGACTGTGACCCAGGTTATGTAGGTCAAACAAACCCTTTCCTCCTGAAGCTGCTTTTGATCAGTGTTTTATCCCAGCAGCAGAAGGCAAACCAGCACAGGGTCTACTGGGATTGGAGGGCGGGTCATTTTACACAGGCCTCGAACTTATGAAGGGCCTCAAATGCACACTTTTTAAAAAGACTTTTGTGTGTATATGTTGCCTGTGAATGAAACAAAGAAAAAGAAAAAGAAAGGACATGGCTGCTCCTAGGTATGATGGAGGAGAAGGTTTATTATAGATATGTGGGAGAGCAGAGTCAGAGGCAGGGATACCTGGGAAATTCAGATACGCAGGGTGGACATGACTAGGTTAAGCTGGGCCATGTGGGGAGAGGGGGCGGGGAAGGGAGAAGAGAGAGTGGGGAGCCAGGTGCAGCAGCCCGGAGGCCAAAGGTCCAAAAAGGAAATGTCTGAATTATATAGGGAAGAGCCTCTGGGTGAAGGGTGGCCCAACCCCTGGGCTGGAGAGTTTGGGGTAAAGTGTGGGATGCTGGGAGAACCTAGCAGCCAGGTCTGCTTTGATATGTTAAATAAGTATCTCAGCTGCTTGTCCCAGGTTTGAAACTTAGCATCCTGCATGTCTGTCTGCACCACACGCATGCCTAGTGCCCTTGAAGATCAGAAGAGGACATTAGATCCCCTGAGACAGGAGTTATGGGTATTTGTGAGCCACCATGTGGGTGCTGGAATCAAACCCAGGTCCTCTGCAAGAGCAGCCAGTGTTCTTAATTGCTGAGCCGTCTCTCCACCCACCCCTCCTTTTTTTTTTTTTTTTTTTTAGACAGTGTCTCCATATTGCTGGCCTGGAACTTACTATGTAAACCTCACTAGCCTCAAACTCATAGCTATCTGCCTTCCTCTTCCTCGGCTGAGATTAAAGTCCTGTACAACCACACCCAGTGTGAAAGATTTCTGAATAAACACATCCACCTACCTTAGAAAGACAAGATGATAGGGTCGAGGTAAAATAACATAACAAGTGAAAACCTTGTTGAAGAAAACAAAACACATTCTGAAGAGAATTCAGATTTTGTTTGGTGTGTGTGTGTGTGTGTGTGTGTGTGTGTGTGTGTGTGTGTGTGTGTGTGTGTGTTGGGAGGTGTTTAGTGTGTGGTTATGCATGTGGAGGCCAGACGACAGCCCTGGGTGTCATTCCTCAGGTGCTGATTGCCTTGGTGTTTGAGACAGGGTCTCTCCTTGACTGGAGCTCACTGAGACAGGGTCTCTCCTTGACTGGAGCTCACTGAGACAGGGTCTCTCCTTGACTGGAGCTCACTGAGACAGGGTCTCTCCTTGACTGGAGCTCACTGAGACAGGGTCTCTCCTTGACTGGAACTCACTGAGGCAAAGTCTCTCGTTGACCGGGAACTCACTGCTTAGGTTAGTGTAGATGAAATTCTAAATGGTCTTAGTAAATAAGAAACACAGAGCCAAATACAGAGTTAAAGCCTAAGAGATCAGAGCACTAGCAAAGCCCAAGACCACCTTTGGCTGCTGTCTCTTCCCCTGAGAGAGAGCTCTTCTCCTGTGTGACCTTTTTTTTTTTTTTTTTTTTTTGTTTGTTTTTGTTTTTGTTTTTTTGTTTTTTTTTTTTTTTTTGAGACAGGGTTTCTCTGTGTAGCTTTGCGCCTTTCCTGGAACTCACTTGGTAGTCCAGGCTGGCCTCGAACTCACAGAGATCCGCCTGGCTCTGCCTCCCGAGTGCTGGGATTAAAGGCGTGCGCCACCACCGCCCCTGTGTGACCTTTTTATAGCCTTTCTGTTCTACCGTCTCATTGGTTCTAAACCCAACCACATGACTTCCTCGTCACTGCCTGTCTATACAGACCTCCAGGTCTCTATGGTTGGTACTGGGATTAAAGGTTAGGGTCACCACTTGGCTGTGTCCTTGACTACGCAGAGACTTTGCCTGCCATGTGATTGGATTAAGGGCGTGTGCCACCACCGCCAGACTTCTGCTAAATGGCTTGCTCTTAGTTCTGACCCCCAGGCAACTTTATTTATTAGCATACAAATAAAATCACATTTCAGCACAAATAAAATATCACCATAGTCTAGACTGGCCAGCCTGCTAGCTCCAGGGATCCACTGTCTCCCGCTTCCCCGGTGCTGGGAATACAAGCTTATGTCCCATTCCTGGTTGTTGTTGTTGTTGATGTTGTTGTTGTCATTGATGTAGGTTTTGAGGCTGATTCAGTTCCTCATGCTTGCAAGGCAGGCACTTTGCCAACTGAACATGCCCAGCCTATGGATTCCAATGTGTTTTGGGCCTTTTTTTAAGGATTGAATTTTAATTTTTAATTATGTCTATATGTATGTATGTGAGTGTGGGTTTGTGCATGAGTGCAGTGTCCGGAGGCCGGAAGAGGGCATTCAATCCTTGAAGCTGAAGCTATGGATAGCTGTGAGCTCCACAGCATGGGTACTGGAAACCAAATTCTGGTCCTCTGCAGGAAGAGCATGAAATCGTAAGCTCTGAGCCATCTCTCCAGCTCCCATGGATTCAGATATTTTCATGTAGTCTTGAACACCCAAGTCCTGAAGATGAAGGCAAGGTTTTTACTTCTTTACAAAATTTGCCCTATGCTATGCTAGGGGTGGGGGGACTTCTCAGCTTTAACCTGGAGTTTGTGGTATTTGTGGAGACAAAGAATAGAATGAGACAAAAGGGTGCAGAGGAGTCTTTAAGCATGGGACCTCGTATGTATAGAAGCATCACTTGGAAACAGATTGCTGTCTTTTCATCTAGAACATACAAAGAACTGGCATGAAGTGGTCCACACCTATCTTCTCTCAAACACATTACTGAGTCTGCACTGGCTGCCTGGTGCTAAAATCAGGTTGTGAGGTACTTGGGTACATCCACCTACCTGTCCTATAAGACACCCCCCTCCCCAGCACTGGCAGAGCTCAGTAAGGAGAGACTGGACAATAACAAAATAGCAGATGTGAGGACTTCCCCACATCCTGCTTGCCCATGAAAGCCAACTGTGACATGGTTAGCACCAGAGTCCAACAGAAGAAGAAACACTACATACAAATAGTTAATGGGAAGAATAATGTGATAGCCTGCTGAGAGCTACACGTACATCACCAGATGGAGAAAACATCTGCAGTGCAGTAAAATGAACAATTTCATTGATAATGAAGTCTCCAAGAAGCAATGGAAGAAGATGCAATAACCAAATTCTGGAACAGTTGAAAGGGTTTTTGCTTTTTTTTAAAAAAAAAAGATTTATTTCATGTGCATGAGTGTTTTGCCTGCATACACACACACACACACACACACACACACACACACACACACACACACACACACACACCATATGCATACCAGAGACCAGAAGAGGGTGTGTTGGGCCTCCTGGAACTGGAGTTAGATGGTTTTGAGCCACCATGTGGATGCAACAGAATTCCAGTCTTCTGTAAGAGCGGCCAGCGCTCTTAACTGCCGAACTCTCTCTCCAGCCCCAGTCCAGTTAGTTGAGTTTTTGTGTTTGTTTGTTTGTTTGTTTGTTTCTTACAGCAAACCTTCTACAAGCGCTCAGCCTTCCTGATCAGGCTTAGTGAGGAGGTACCAAGCAATACTGCTTCACAGGGGCAGAAAGCTTGCCAGGACAATGTTTAAATATAATGTAATATACCCATAGGCTAAAGGACAAAGCCCACACAATCTTCTCTACAGAAGCAGAAAGCATACCTAACAAAATACATCACCCCAAGAAACAAACACCCCACAAAGGAGAAATAGCAAGGGACTTCTTTAGTCTAATAGAGGTTGTACTCAAAACGCTGTGACCAACATGGTGTTTGACACTGGGAGACTGGAAGCCTCCCAGGACTGGAGCAAGACACTTTCTCACCACTGACACTCACACCTCTACTAGAAAACAAAAGGCAAAGCCAGATCCATTTACAGAGAGCCTGCTACATAGAAATGCTAAGGCAGACTACAGAACCATTAGGATGAATACGAGAGTTTGGCAGGGTTTGGGATACTAGAGCAATGATCCAAAACAGTGCTAGGTATTGAACTCAGGACCTTGTGAACTACGCAAATGCTCTACCCTACATCATCTGCACAAGAACACAGGGACTTGACATGAAGAAATTCCCATCACCCGCCTTTTGGAATCCTATGGGGCATTCATAAAGTACACTATTTAGCCCAGTCTCATGGGACTTCACTTTGAATCTGAAGTGCCAGGGAGTGTGTAAACATGTATCTGAGCTGCATGTTCTATTTAGAACTCGCCGTTGAACACCTAAGGTCTCAGGGTTTAGATTTGGTCACTTACTGCTGTAATAATACAGTGGCAGGAAAAGGAAGTCCTGAAGAAAAAGAATGCTCATCTAGAAGTTTTCCATTCAGAGATGCACAAGTGAAGCTCAGACAAAAAGGGCGTGATCACAGGAATAGTAAGGCTGGGTTTTTGTTTTTTGATCTCAAATTTAAGCAGAGTATTAGCTAGGCTCTAACTTTAGCAATCCTTTGATCTTTCTTCAAAGATCAATCCTTTAGTTACTGGGTTGATGTTCTTTCCCTGTAACCTTTGATTCTCTTCTAGAGGTCAACACACACAGGGCAGACATTTCTCCAGCTGCGACTTCGGTGGGTCTGCCTGAGGGACCCTTTGCTTAGAATGCTCCATAGGATGTATTCCCCCTGCAGTGGGCTCCTCTGTGAGAACTTTTCTCTGTGGGATTCAAGCTCGCTGAATCTGTGCTGATTACTGGGGGTGGGATTACAGCTGGCTTTAATTTTTCTCATGTGCTTATTCTTATTCTAGTAAATACTTTTTGAGGACCTTCTATTTGCCAGATGTGTGCCGGGCACTGAGAGAAGTGTGAGCATCATACACCCAACTGGGGGCCACAGACACGAAAATTAACAATAACCAGAATGTACTGTGTGCTTTGATGGGGGACGCTGGGCATGTTATGGATTTCACAGAACAAATGCCTCCTGGAGCAGTGCTTCCGAAGACTTCCAAAAGGTGAGACCCAACAAATGAGTCATTGGCCTTTCTATTTAATTTTATTAAATCCCAGGGCCAACAAGATAGCTCAGAAGGTATAGGTCCTTGTCATCATCACCCAAGTCCAACCCCTAGACCCTTATGGTCAAAAGAATTGATTCCCAAAAGTTGTTCTCTGATCTCCACGAGCATGCCTGTGTTTTAAAGATTTAATTTTAAACTATGGTCATGCATGTCTGTGTGTGTGTGTATATGTGTGCACACACATATGTGCAGAGGTATGTGCACATTATTTTGGACCCATGAGGAGGCCAGAGATACAGGATCCCCCGGAGCTGGAGTTACAGGCAATTGTGAGTGGCCTGACATGGGTGCTAGGATTTGAACTCAGATCCTCTGCAAGATCAGTACATGCTCTTAACCTCTGCACCATCTCTCCGGCTACACATACAATAAAATTTTCAAATGCAGGCTACACAGAGAAATTGTCTTGAAAAACAAGACAAAAAAAATTCAAATGCAACAAAATCCACAAATATACTATGCACCCTGATGCCCAAGATACTTGATTTTTAATAAATAATGTTGAAGAACACAAACTCCAGCTGGTGTCTGGCTGGAGATCTTTGGTCACCAGGTGCCCCAGAAAGGGATAGTGGGACTCCAGCCTCTTTCTCCTCCCATCCTCACCATGAGGTAAGAGTTCTGCCATGCCAGAGTGTGTTGCCTTGCCACAGGCCCAAATGATAATGTACGGAAAACCCCAAACCAAAGAGCCAAAGCAAACCTTGCTGCAGCTGATGATCTCAGTCTGTTAGACTGTAAGATTCCTGTGCTAAGACAAAAACTATACTGCTGATGACTTTCCTGTAAACACGTGGGTATACCGGATGGATAAAGCAAGTGAGTCCACTGTGCTGTTGTAAGCCAAACCCTTTGCCCTGAGGCAGCGGCTGCTCTTGCTGATTGGGGTCCTCTAATGGGTCTAGAGGGCTCAGAGCTTCACGCTGCTGTAGCATGTTCGAGGCAGCTAAGTGACAGCTTCTCTCCTGCCTTGGTGCTCTTGCAGAAGCAGGCACGGGCTGCTGGGGAGGCGGGTGTAATCTGGCTGGCTTCCAAACACCATGAGCCATTTAGCAGAGAACTTGGCCACTGTGCAGAAACACTTTCAGTGAATTCCATGGGTGTGGAGATATCCCTGCAATGTCTCCTTTCCCCTCCCCTTTTAGAACACATATACAGGAGCTGCCAAGACCCGTTTCACACAACACAGGCACTATTTTTGGTTGTTGTTAGGGCTGGAGGCAGGGAGCCCTGAAATGGTTTCGCCTACGCTGTCAGTTCTTCTGCAAAAACTGCTCCTTCAGGACCTTGGCAAAAACATCTGCCTTCTCCCCTCCAAACCTAGGCCTGCTTAGGGGCCTGCAGCATGACAATGCAGTACCTGTCAGCTTCTGCACTGGCTCCAAAAATTAACACATTAAAAAAAAAAAAAAAAAGGCAATGTTTTCAGTTTCATTAGCTTTCCTGTACTGTGAAACTTGGTCTGCACAGCAGGACTTCCCCCCTCAAATGTATTTCATTTTTCATATTTCATATGCAGCATTTCTCCATGGAGAAAGCTACTTTAATGGCAACAGCCTTGAAGACTGTCTATACTAAGGACTATTGTTACTAAGGGTGGACAGACAAATGAAATGGGATGAGGTTTGGTTAAGTAAAACTAAACAAATACTGGAGAGAGCATTTTCTTTAAAAAATAAAAGACAAGAAAGGTGAGTGTTAGTGTTTGTCTTCTTGAGGACTGCAGGTGAGGGCAGGGCATGGGTGTGGACACCTCTGGGGAGGTGCTGCAGTGTTTGAGGGAGAAAGAACGGGAGATGAGACCCATTGGCCTAAGCCTCTCCCTGCCTGCCCTCAGGCAGTCTGAGCAACTGGTTCTAATGAAAGCTGTTTCTGAAGTGGACAAACCACCACTCAACAAATGGGTTAAAGTACTCCTTCCCTGTAGTCTAGCATGGGCCTAAAATTCCCTCCTGCATGGGCTGCTACAAGCACAGTCCCATTTGTGAACTTTGAGAGGCTGAGTTTGAAGTTGAGACCTTAATTAAAGACTTGAAGGTGAAGATGAAAAAGCTGAAGGATTCCCAAGCAGTGATCACAGAACAGAGAGCCATCTAGGAACGGCCTCTTCCTGCTCACTGGATATCAGTCTATATTCCTTTCAACAGCCCCACATACACTCCAAAGGCAGGTGTGCCTCTCCATTTGACCATGTGTCATTTGCAAAAATTATTAGACATACAGCTGTGGTTTCCTGATGCAGCCTCCATGCGATTCAGTAACTACTAGATATAGGCCTCTCTCAGACTTGAGATGTGACATTGACCAGCCAGTGACTATGGCAATGCTTGGCTGTCAGCCAGACTCCCTGTAAAGTGAGGGTGAGAGGCATGTAGCTCAGCGAGTCTGAGTGACAAAATTCAGGACCTAAACAATAAACAGTTAGTTGGCTGAACCTTGAGTAGTCAGGCGTTCATACAGAGTCAATTGCTGCAGGGAGTTATGTCTTCTGAAGTTGCTTTGCTGCCTGACCTTGGAATTAAGTAATTTGTCCTTGTGCATTCATTTGCAGGGGCAACGAGTCTGCTTTGAATTTGCTCTGAGGTCTTCTTACATAAGCTAAATGTGTAAAAAGCTGTCTTTGTAGCTGAGAATACTGTTATTTTCCTGTCAGTCTGAGCTATGAAAAATATCCTAGTACTATTTCTATTTATCAAAATTATACAGCTTAAGAAAAAAATCATCTTCCTGACCATCCACAGATATATGTGCCCAAAAAATACAAAACACACCACCAATGGGCTGTGGAAAGAACCCCACAGCTGTTCTTTTTTAGGGAGGAATTGTGGCAGCACATGAGAAAAATTACTCAGAAACAAATGGTATCCACAGCCAGTGACCCCACAGTCTCTGCCTAACGGGGCTCGCCATCAGAGAGGTTTTCATCTGGTGGGTCAACCTGTTGAATAAGTTGTCATCTGCTGTATATTCTACAGCCTCTGGCAAAAAAGGCAGCAGGAAACTGAGAAAACTGGTCAAATTATGTCCGTCAGAAGAAAGTAATCTATGCTGATGTTCAACTCAATCTATTTATACGGGGCCCAGGATCTGCTGCTCAGAGAATGGTCCCACCCACTTCAATCAACTTAATCAGGACAGACCCCACAGCATGCCCAAAGGCCCTTCTTCCAGTTTCTAAATCCTGTCAAGTTGAAAATTAGCACCAACATCCCATCTTGGAACACAGTAATATTGCAACTGCTTATTGAAAGTGCTTGGTGACCAAGTGTGGTGGAACGTGCCAGTGACCCCAGCATTAGGGAAGTAAAGGCAAAAAGATCATGAGTTGGAGGCCAACCTACCTACACAGCAAGCTCCCTGCCAAGCTTTTAGAAAGCAAAACCCCATCTCTAAAAAAAGGGTGAGTTTCGAGTACTATGGACACAAAGATATCACACACACACACACACACACCACTGCTAGATACCCAAAGTGTGCAAGAACAGGTTAGTGACATTGAATGCTGGGTGTTGTGGGTCCCTTACTCGTCTTAGTCCAACCAATGTGATTTCATCAGCATTTAAGTATTGCAGGCAAATCTGTGTAAAATGGCTGAGTTGTGTGCATCTGTGCAGCACTGAGGGCAGGGAAAGTAGCTAAACACAACCATCAGAGCCAAGGTCGTTTGCTTGGATGCAGACAAACTTTAATTGCCAAACCTTCATGTACAGCACATTCAGCATTGAAACACACAGGAGAGTCGCTCGCTTTCAGAGACATAAACATCGTTTCCAATTCAGTTTACAGCATTCCACATGGGAATGATCTTCCTCATCTTTCTGAAGACCACTTGACATTTTAATAGATGATTAGACATACTCAAAATACCCAAAGCAGGATGCATCTTGCAAGGAGAGAGGGTGAAACCCTTTTCTATACTTCTAGACAAACACACATGGGCAGTTCTACTTGATACAGCAAGAGATTTGCTGGGGCAAAGTGGGTGCTTCAGTGCCAAGCAAGCCAGCCCAGGACAACAGACCCCTGGGCAGCAGGTTCCTGCTCTCACTGGCATTACTCCCCAGTCTTTATTTAGCACAAAGTAAATCCTTGACCAGCAAACTCAGAATATCACTGAATTCTGGGACAGCAGGGAAATTCTTATATCGCATATGTATTAGAGTAATTAATATTTGTATTAGGGTTTGTTCTATAACTGGAATGGTTTAAGTATTATCTAATTCACTTTATACTTTCAAGAGAGTCAGAAGGAATGGAGAGAAACAGTGTGACTGAGTGCCCAGCTGTGGGGCCAGGCAGCTACAAACCAGCCTCTGGGAAAGCCATCTACAGTTCTGGGAAAGACTAACGGAGCTCATTACACCCCAGCCCCACCAAAATCTACAGCTATTCTGGTGCTCTAGCTACAGCGTATGTTTCAAACAGAGTCTTCAACTTAACATCTACTTGTAAAACGTGGGAACAACACACAGGCTCAAAGAGCTCCTCTTGGAAGTGACATCACAGCAGGATCGTCCAGGCAGCTCCCGACTCAATCTGCTGTCCTCGATCCTCCATCTGGTTCAGGCAGACACGTAAGGTGGCGGTGGCTCCTTGGCAGTGCCAGTCACAGCAGTGGCATCATCGTACGGAGGCAGAAGCACCTGGAAAGGAGAGCCCAGGGTCAGCGTTTAAAGTCGGCGTCCGGTCTCTGACCCCAAAGCGAGGCTGTAACTGAACACACACGCAGTTAAGTCCTTCCTGTGACCAGTACTCAGGTCAGCTTCTCACTAAGTGGGTCCACTTAAGGAGAGGCTGTGAGACCTTCAAACAGCACCTGCGGGGGGATTTCTGGGGCCTCTGCTTTTCCTGCCACTTTCTACACATGCCTGGATGTGTACTGGATGGTGTACGTGTAAAGGAATAAGGGATGGCAACAGCTCTCCCGGGTGTGTGTGCACACGTGAGGGCAGGCCCCAGGTCACTATAGAAACCGTACTGACCTCAGGGACAGTGAGGACCGTAACCATACTCAAGTCACATTTTTATCAGCATATCCTTGAGCAGATTATGTACTCTCGGGTTTTATCTCTAAAACAAAGATCTGAAGACCAAAGGCCTATAAATAAAGTACTTAACACTCTGTGTGGCATGAACCTGTAGAAGCTGGAGAGGAACTAAAGAGTGAGTGTTGACTGACGGATGGCAGGTAACAGCTCCGTGCTTACATTTCAAGCACGAAACCAGGACTGCTCAAGGTTATTCACTGTGTGGGAAGACAGAATAACATACAAAAATCATGCTGTGTATTTTCTATTGTAGATCCATTTAGACTTCAAGTAGTAAATATCCATACATGGTATAAAGTGTGCCTGTCCCATAGGGTCCTGGAGGAACACCACTACTAAAACCCCTCCAGTTTCTGCCACACCCCACTCCCCCTGCTCACACACACAACACTTCCACCCCCTCTGACTTAACATATGTCACTATATTTATCTTTTCCTTTGAACCTCCCATAGACTGCAGCCATTACCTCACCCAGGAGTGGGACCGGTACCCACTTGATAGTGACTCAGGAGGTATAAATGGCACACATTCCCCAGTGAGGAAGTTAAGCTGGATTGTTTCGACTCCACCGGAAGTCAAAAGCCGCAGTAACGTCATTAACGGGGGACTGGAGGAATGGGGGCTCGACCAGAAGTGTGGCTAGAGCTGCTGAGTGGACAGCAAGCTTTCCTGTTGGAACAGGGCAAAGCGATGATGTGTAAGGGCGCCCTGCTCAGACGCTTCTGCAGGTTAGCCTCAAGAAGCAGTTACGTTCGGAGGACGCCCAGACACACCAGGTGCTACAGCTGCTGCTGGCCTCCTCCCTCTCCGAGACACTGCCAACAAGACCTGGACACGCTGCAGGGCACGCAAGAGCCAGACCCCCTTCCTCCATACCGTGCAGTTGACTGGCATGGCTCATAGGCGAGCAAACAACAGACAGCTGGCACCAACCAGACTAACAGCAACTGTGGAGCTACAATGCAGCAGCAAGGCTCCCAACACCACATCCCAGAAGTGACTCTTCCTGTTTTTACGGGGGGTGGGGGGTGGGGGTGTGTGTGTGTGTAGGTAACGGCCTGTGTCCTAAATACTTCACAAACTGGGCAAAGGACAGAAGCATCTGAGATGCACTTGGGCCTGCAGGGCTCCCCACAAAGGAACCAGCTATTCTGACAAATGTGTATGCTGAGGGGCACTCACATCCGCAACACAAACCCAGTAACACACTGTGCTGTGGGCTGAGAAACACATGACTTAGGAGGCAGAGCAGGCAAAACACGAAAGGATGATCAAGAACAGGGGTACCAATGCAGACTGGATATCAAGAAAAGCCCCCCCCCCCAAAAAAAAAGGCCAGAGGGCGGTGACTGGACAGTAGAGAGAACACTCTTTCTCATGAAAAGTTGAGTATACACTTGGGGTAGGGAGAAAGGAGGCGGGGTAGTGGAGCAGCTTCTGGGAAGTGCTCGGGGCTGGCCACTGCCCACTTATGGGGGGGAATGCAGTTGGGAAGACTGGTGAGGCTCTGTAGGTGTGGCTGCGCCTGGGCCAGCACATGCATGTGTGCTTGCATCAACTAGGGCAGCCTATGGCCAGTGGAAGCCGTGAACGGCACTAGGAACATTACCGTGGAATGCCGGTTTGGCCTCACTGAGGGATTAACTGACCCGTACCCATCACTGTCTTGGGAGAGGTCTTACGGGGAGCACATCACGGGGCAGTTGGCACATCCAGCTTTGTTTCTTTCCTTTCTCACAAAAGGAAACATTCAAGCCAAATTTCTCCAAAATGCTCACAAATTGAACACAACATTTTCTTTCCGGGGAGGCACAATCATGTTCTGTCAAAATAAAACTTTCACACTTTGGTATTTCACTGTGACGCAGTACTCTGAAATACTCTACTGACTTCCACTTATAATCGGAAGCCAAGCGGCCTGAATAATCTCCCTCACTGGCGCTGGTGACAGACACGGTTTCGCTGGCCCATGTTGGCTGTGAAATATTCTTGACGTGATGTCTCTTGCTTTTGAAAGTTCTCTAGATGCGCTAGTTTAAATTCTCAGAGGCTCCGCATCATCTCACCTAAATAATGCTGAAAACCTGGTCCTGACTGCAAGGCAGGATGGTGAGGTGAGGACCACCATTCTGTTTCTATTATGGTCTGTTAACACTGAGGATGCAGCCACACTTCTTTTCTACAAGGTGGATGAAGTACTTGGACATTGAGAGAAATAACTCTAATATGATTAACACAAAATTTGCCAACTAGGATGCCATGACATAATTTTAAAAATGTGATTATTTTGACATCTTTATCACTTGGCATTTAAATGATTTTTTAAAAAAATAACCATTCACAATGAACCATCAAAAAAGGCCAAGCACACCAAGAACGTATCCTACTCCGATGTACACTTGCTGCTGGCAATCAGAAGCTAATGGCCGAGCCAGAAGGGGCAAGCACACGCAACCGTGGGCCACTTTATTTGAGGTCCAACGAGTTCCCCACACATCCTTTTTCTCTCCACACCCCCTCTCCTGGGGGCAGCTGGCTCAGTTGGTAAGTGCTTGCCGAGGAAGACACCCAATGCCAACCTCTCGCCTGTACATGTGCTCACACATAACACTCACTATACATATAATAAATAAAATCTGAAAAACAAATTCACTTCAGTCAATAAATGATGAAATGTCCGGGGAAAGAGCTACAGCCGTGCTTCATGCAACAGTGGGGCTACATTCCAAGAAATACACCGTCAGGTAATTCCATCAGATGTGAACATCCTGGAGGGTATTTATGTAACTAAGATGGCTACGTTATCACCCAAGCAATACAGTGATGGGACCACCATGTAACATGCATGTTGTTATAGACAGAAACATTGTTGTCTAATATCCACCTATTCTGGTAAAACTAGACAATGTTTAAGCACCAGAGTTAGGGCTAGACATGAACCATATATTTGAATTTGGCCAGTATAGATTTATCTATATTTCTGTAGTTTCAGGGTAATGTGTATAAGCTACACATGACTTCAGACAGTCTCAAAAGAATATCACAAAATGTTAAAATAGAGACTAATTATCAACCAGACACAACCAAACTACCTAAGAGTCAATGAGAGATTGGCCAGATCATACTGGCCTACAGGCATTTCTGAGGGGCATTGTCTTAACTGTTAACTGATAGAGCTCCATGCTTTTTCTTAGGTAGCTTGACCAGGTAAGTAGTGCATTTGCCTGAGTTTCTGCAGCCGACTGAAGAACAAGCCTCACTTGCCAGAAAAGGGACTTTCAACATTTGGATGGACAATGGGGACTGAGCATAGGCAGTCTAGATACTAAGCAAAGCAACTGGCAAGTGGCATGCTATCTGATGTTATTAGTTCTGAGGTAACAGGTTTTCACAGGAAAGATCCCCAAATCCTGTGGAACCCAAGCTTCACACGATAACGCAGCCTAGAAGCACCTAAAACACCCGAGGAACTCGAGTGAGCACGTCATGAGGTCCCCTTAAGAAACAAGCACACACACTGGGGAAATGAGTGCTTTTCTCATTCAGTACCACTCCCGTCTGGGCCTCATGAAGCCCAACGTCTGGCTCATACCCACTTATTCCCATGCCTCCTGGGCACAGCTACACAGCCAGTTGAGGACAGCTGAGGATACACAGACTGTCCCTGAATACCACCTCCCCACACTCCAAAACAGTGTTACTGCAAATGAGCATGCCTGCATGGCAGGTAGTTAACCATTGAGCCATCTCCCCAGCTCTTTCTTCCTGTACACAGAAAAACCGAACCCTTTCATAGAATGTACTCACAACACAGAATTCATACTTCAGATCTTTCAGATTGGTTCCAAAAGTTCCCACAGGTAAAATGCAAAGGCTAGAAATTCCAAAATAACATGGCAACCTGAACCGAGAATAAAAATGGTTCCATGCACTTGCATATTGAGAAAAGAGGAGGGCACTGTGAGCTAATACCACAGTAACCCTGTGGAAGACAGTTCAGCCGTGCTTTCCCAGCCAGAATGTGTTATACCCCCTACTGCACACATCTCCCTCCCAGGTCCTACATCATTCTAGGGCTCCAGTCTCACCTGGGCTCAAGCTGCAGCCACAGTTTCAGGCAGGAAATGGAGAGCTGCCCAGCACCTCAAGCCTCCACATTATCTGTTCCCAGCTTCCCCACCTTGTGCTAATGGGAAGGGAGAAATATCTCTATAACATCTACCCTCAAACCCAGTAGTTTAATTTTCTGTTACAGCCTAACCCATCTGCCAGCTTTATTTCCTCAGGACCACAGCACACATTCCTATATTGCACTTTGAAATATCATAAACCTTTCTTTTGTTATTATACTGCCTATGGTAATTTTAATGATAATAAAGGTATTTTGCCTCTGTGGATACACCCTTATTTAACCAAACCATCCTCGGGTTATTAGGTAATGAAGCTGGAATGTTTTCGTTATTAAAAGCAATGCTGCATTACAATGATGTATAAAAACGTCACAATGAAACTTAGTATTTGAACATTCACAAATAAATAAGAAGCAACCTTTAGTGACAGAAAACTAACTGTGACTCCCTTCCCCATGTGCTGTAGGGCTGAGAAGAGCACTTGGTACAGTGCCTGGCAGACAGCAACCTCCACACGCCTGATGAAGCGACTCCAGAGCAAGGAGGTGTAACACAGGAGAAGAGCTCACAGCTGACCACACGTGCGTGCGGCACCAAAGGCCCCGGGCCAGGCGACTCGGAAGCTGCTGTCCCAGCTTTTCAGTAAGTGGTTTAAAGTTAGTCACACACAGAAGAGATCCTTAAGTATCCTGTCACTCACTCCCATAACCACCAACTCCTAAGTTCTCTCAAACCCTCCCCCATTTCTCCCCCTGCTACTTCCCTAGAGCAGACCTGCCCCTCTATTCTGGAATTCACCTCCCAGCTCAGAGTTACCAGGGCCACACCAACTTCTCACAATGGTCTTGGCCTTTTAAGTTAAAAGGGTGAGGGGTAGGGGTAGGGACGAAACAGCTCGCACTAACTATTTAGAGGAGAAAAGAACCACTTAAAAAAGTCACTGGAAATAAGACCTCCCTTTTACATCAGAGTATTTCACAGACCAGAGATTTCAAAACCAAAAAATTATAGGACATGGTTTTAAACCTCTAAACCCAGTGATGTTTTCACTCCTCTAGTCCCACATGTGAAGACTCTTGCTGCTTCCCAGGCCCTCTGGGTCATTTAAACAGATGTCCTTGAATCTGGCTAAAACACATCTGAAGCTTGTCCACTTGTCCAGCCAATTAGTTATGACTTTTCTGTAGAACATACAAGATGAAGACTTGTTTGTTTTATGCTGCTGACCATCTAGTTCTTGAGAATGAATGAACCTCAAGTCCAACTAAAGATCTTTCTTGTTGCCAATTTGATTATCCCCCCCCCCTTTCCTCCCTCTATGGTTGAGAAAAATGCACAGAACCTGGTCAGGAACTTGCCTGTCACATGTCTAATTTATACTAAGAAAACCAGCTAGTAACTGGAGGAAAGGAGAAAGGGGAGGGGAAGAGAGAGGGAGGGGAGGGGAAGAGAGGGAGGGGAGGGGAGGGGAAGAGAGGGAGGGGAGGGGAGGGGAAGAGAGGGAGGGGAGGGGAGGGGAAGAGAGGGAGGGGAGGGGAGGGGAGGGGAGGGGAAAAGAAAACCAGAGGGAACTGTGCACCATTACTGAGAGCCACGGGGGCCGCCACGGTGTCACCCCCACTGCTAAGCTGTTCAGAGCATTCTGGTGGCCAAAGGTTGGTCTTCACTGACCTTCAGTATGTCAGAGAATCTATTGGGAAATGGTCTGCCCTTCACAGAAGCTTTTACTTTTAAGTGTATTTTTAAAGCAGATTCAAGAGAAAGACTCATAGAGTAAAATACTTTTGGAAGTGTAAACTCGCATAAGGCAATCTGAGTCAATCGGCACAGCATAACCAGCTCCATGAACTTTACATTTCCTCTTTGAATTATTAAGAACCTTCCTCTCATATCTAAGACTATAATGCTTTTTTTTTTTTTAAATCTGGAATCAGAATTTCAGGCAATGTTTTAGCTAAATATTAATCTTGCTGATTTAGAGGACCCTGGTCTCACAGGAATTGGGTTCCATACATTTGGCAAAATACTGCTATGACCAGAGTTTTAGGATTATTATTGAAACAAGGCTACATATATTAAGTTTTTAAAAATTTCAATTTGCTAATATTTAATGTGAAAAATGTTTCTACAATCTACATATTTATCATTTTAATGTGTTTTTTTCTCCAGTGAGCACATTTTCATGGCATTAGGAAGAGTATGTGATAGTTACATAATGCATCCATCACATGATTTCTCCAACATGGGCTCTAGAGGGGAGGAGGGTGCATCTCCCTAGGGCACCAACAGTGCTGGGGCCAGGCAGCCGCAGTGACGCAGAGGGCACCTTGGGATAGTTTAAACTCTCAGGGGAAACATACTGAGCAGGCTGCTGTTGAGCTGTGCATACACGACTACTTAATGCAGTCAAGAGGTGGGTATGTACTCCCACGGCCTGAATGAATCACTCAGACCTCAAGGCATTATGTTTGGGACCCTCTGCCTGAGGCATTCCCAGCACGGTCTGGCTGGAATGGAGGCAGGGTTAACCCCGGGAATGATCTCCATTATCTAGAACTCTTTTCTGTTCTCCCTCTGAGCACACCACAGCATGTGCATTGTCTTAGAAAAGGAGAGGAAGCATGTTTACTTTCTAACAAGAGCCCCAGTATCTTTCCACAAAGGTCAACATGAATTTATTTAGCCTGGGAGAAGAGCCATCTGGCCCAATACTTAATGTGAAGTGAAAGCCAGGCATGACACATTATTATGTTGATGTGGATGCCCAATACTGACATGGGCAAAGGAGAAACTTATATTGCTTTGTGCCATGAAAAACTAGATCACTCCAACCTTCTAGAAGGTCTCTGGGGCAGACATCAGCACATTTGGTTTTTAAATTAGAATGCCAACATTAAAACCCCTAGTTCTTGCCAAAAAAGAAATCTTTAAAATTATGGAGTATTCTAATCCTTAAAGTCCACATTATGGTCTCCAGATATCATTTTCCACCAAAAAGAAATGGCTCCTTGGAGAAATGGCGGACCACAGATCTGCTGTAGGAAATGTAGGAGCCTATGTTATGCTGGAAAGCAAGAACACTGAAGAGCTTCTGATGAGGCTCAACTGGTCATGGATGGCCTAACCTGAGCATCAGAGCCATGTACTGTGATGTGTTTGCGTTTAGAGAAAGCTTGCGTTCTTCCTTTCTAAAGATACACAATAGGTCAGAACAGTTAGTTTCATTTAGGTTCATTTACACAATTTATCAAAAGACATGTAGTTTTCAGTGGAATAACCTCCATTCTTTACTGTTTGTTGTTGTCTGGATATTTTACACTTCTGTGTACCGGTGTTTTGGATGCATGTATGTCTGTGTACCGTGTGCATGATTGGTGCCTGTGGAGAGGATGGAGCCAGATCTCGAACTGGAGTTAGAGGGTTGTGAGGTACCATGTTGTGCTGGGAAATGAACCTGCCCCCCCCACCCCCCCCCCACCCCCCGCCAGCAGCCAGTGCTCTTTCTTAACTGCTGAGACATCTCACAAGACTGTTTTGGTTTGTTTGGTTGGCTGGTTTTTGTTACTGTTTTCCAGGTCCAATTATTATCTATGTCATGGTTTAAATGTGAAATGCCCTGGACCCCCAAGACTCATGAGTTGAAGGCTTGGTCCCCAGCTAGAGGATCCAATTACTCAAGCAACTGGATAACAAAGGCTCTGACCTGACCAATGGATTAATCTATTAGTAACCCTATTGATGGTTTCATAATCTGATGCCATTACTGGGAGCTGATGGAAACTTTCCGAAGTAGGGCTTACTTAGAGGGAAGCAGGTCACTGGGGGTCCTGACTTAGTCAGAGGACTCTCCATAGTGCTCTCTGCTTCCTGGCCTGCCCACCACAAAGTCTGCTGCCATGATATTCCTCCTATCTCACCACAAGTCCATGGTAATGGAACAAGTCCAATCACATGACAGAAATGTCTGAGTGTAACCCAAAGAACCCCTCTCCTTCTAAGTCATTTCTTTCAGGTATCTGTCACACTGACAAAGAACTACAACATGGTAGACCAAGCAGATGATAAACATGTCTTAGCCAGGCGTGGTGGGTGGCACACGCCTTTAATCCCAGCACTCAGGAGGCAGAGGCAGGCAGATCTCTGTGAGTTCAAAGCCAGCCTGGTCTACAAAGTGAGTTCCAGGACAGCAAAGAGAAACCCTGTTTTGAAAAAACAAACAAAACACACACACACACACACACACACACACACACACACACACACACACACATCACACACCTACCGTGGTGTCATTGCTGGTAACATACACCAGGACATCAGAGGAGTTCCTGCCATTGATGTATCGGTAGCAGCTCCAAACACAGCTTATCAAGTAACCCTGCAAATAAAGGTCACCAAGTTTTTAATTTTCAAACTGCAGATGACTGAAAACAATATGCTAAAGTAACACTGTAAAGTTTTTGTTTACATGCACATGTGAACGTTACTAGACCTAATGCATTTAAAACTGCAGAAGTTGGGGCAGTATTTCTGGCATGGGTGCACTGCTTGTTCACCCACTGGTCACTGGTCACTCGTTCTTTGGTAAGAGGTGAGTCAAACTTGCTGTACAGCCTGGGCTAGCCTCAAGCCCCCTCCTACCCTGCTCAGTACCCTGACTACAGGAGTCTCTGATTTTATTTATTCCATTTTCAGAATGAAGCATCTAGAGGTACTTAAGATGAACACTCAGAAGAACAATGGCTAGAAACGATGCACGAGAGATGTCAGACCTGGGACTTTCCCTGTGCTCTTACTCCAGGCAGCTTTAATTGGATTAGAACTCAATTATTTCAAAATGCTTCCGTAATGCTAAATGCTTTGACTAAAAAAACGGTTAAACAGAGAAATGTCACACACTGCTATTAAAGATGTCAAGCAGTATAGCATGCCCCCCCCAACCCACCCCCACCCAGTTTTAATCAAGCTATCACAGGACCCAGCAATCCTACTCCAGGGACACGTATGTCCACAGGACTGGACACCCATGTCCACCCACACTTTATTAGGAATGTGAAGAGCAGCATTTTTCACTTTGGCAAAGTGGAAGCGACTAAATGTTTGTCATGTGCTGGATGGACATGTGGCATGCCTAAAGCAGGGCACACTGCCGCCATCCTGGTGACACAGCAGGTCACCTGGGAAGAGGGAACCTCAGCTGAGAAAACCCCCCATCAGACTGGCCTGTGGATAAGCCTGTGGGCTTTTTCTAAGTAATGATTGATGTGGGAAGGTCCAAGCCACTGTGCAACCCCTGAGCCTTGGGTTGTATGAAAATGGGAAGCTGAGCAAGCAATGGAGAACGCCGGTAAGCAGTGTTCCTGAAAATCGCTGCTTCAGTTCCCACCTTGACTCCCCTCGATAGACCGCAACCCGGGAACATAAGGAAGATAAACACTTTCTTCCTCCAAGTTGCTTTTGGTCATGGTCTTTACCACAGGAAGAGAGCAAAATAGGGCAGCAACCTAGGAGGAAAAAAGCCATCCACAAAGACCAACACACAGCTGACTGTATTGATGTAGTGTCCACATCAATCCAGAGACAGAAAGCAATGTACTCGTTTTCCAGGGGTGGAGGGGACTATGAAGGCCTGGTGGTAAGTGGTAGGAATGTTCTAAGCCGCTTGGCGTGGTGGCACACACCTTTAACCCCAGCATGTGGGAGGCAGAGGCAGGCCTAGATCAAGTTCCAGGACAGCCAGGGCTACACAGAGAAACCCCATCTCGGGAGGAAATACAAAACTAAATGTACACAGCCATGAAGCTACAGCTGCACACTCATAAGTGCACTAAAAACACTGACTCACATTTCCTTTAATAACTTATTGAGAGAGAGAGAGAGAGAGAGAGAGAGAGAGAGAGAGAGAGAGAGAGAGAGCGTGTACACGAATACTCACATCTATGTGCATATGACATTGTGCATGTGATTGGAGGACTTTTGTGGGTGTTCTCTTCACTCCACCTTGTGGGATCCTGGAGTTGACCTGGGTCAGTTCACCAACCTTGCAGCAAGGACCTTTCCCCACCATGCTGCCATCTCACCAGCCCACATACATTAAGTGGTTGATTTTTTTTTTTTCCTCTCCTGGAGCTGAGGACCGAACCAGGGCACTGCGCTTGCTAGGCAAGCACTCTACCACTGAGCTAAATCTCCAACCCCTAAATGGCTGAATTTTATGACATGGATTGTAGCACAATAATAACTGTGTATGTGTGATATTTATTCAAATACTTGCATCTAACTTTTGTGATGCTACTACTAAAAACACACAGCACACCGTTCTGCACGCTGCAGTATTACATATAACCACTGAGCCGTCATCTCTCCTTGACTGGCCTGTGCAGTTCAAGTCAGTATTTCTCTCTCACACAGACAACAGAATATAATGTTAGGAAACCAAGGGGACAGATTATTCTGTTTATTTGTTTCGAATTCAGGAGTACATTGAATATTTAGTCCATAAGGAGAAAATTCATGCTTACCTTAAATGTCAAAATAATGCTGATAAACAGAAGAATAATAAGGACCAAACACGTAGGATTCACGGACATTATGTCATCTCTGTAGGGGAAACTGGGAGGCTGAAAGGGAAAGGGGCCTCATTAGCAAATCTCGTTCATTTTCAAGACATATTCCATAGGCAGCAACCCAGGGTGCTCACTTGAGAGCAGATGATTGTTATTTAGGACAGATACAAAATTCTCTCCACCTCTACCCATGAAACAGCAACAAACAGTGAGCGAGCAAGGAGCTCCTAACTCAGGCACCCCAGCAAAGGAAAGTCTGCACAGAGATCGACAGAGCCATTGCACCTGGCATGGATTCCTGGGCGACAGCACCCAGGCTTTGAACTGCCTTTTCTTTAAGTCAGGGATTGTCACTGAGTTGCTCTTCCTAGAGGAATTTCAGACCTTGGTTTTGGTATATGGATATTAGTTTGCTAAAGGTGGTTTTTGTGTAACAATAAAAGGCTTTTTGCACAGTATTCAGGAAACAGCCTGGTCTACACAAATTCCAGGACAGGCAAGGCTACTCAGAACCCTATACCGGAAACAAACAAACACACAACAAAAACAGAAAAACAAAGAAAAAAAAAGCTGTCTTTGCAAAGTCAGGAGGCAGTCGGTCTATCAGAAGCTGGCTCCCTGCTGCTGCCTACACTCTGCAGCCTTGCTCTGCAGCCTCTGACTTGCACAGCACAGAACAAAAGTCAAGAGGAGGAGTCGTGAGAGACACGAGGTGCCTGCCACGCAGTCCTCCCTCTGCACGATGGAGCACCATCATTGTGAGCTATTGGTGCACTTCTGGTGTGACTGGGTAGTTTTCTTACTTCCTTCAAGTTCTGAATACTCTGAAGGGTTGTGCAGGACAAGGAGAAAGCTACTGAAGTGAGTGTCTTTGCTAAAGGCACATCTTTCTAGACATTGTAAACAGTGACGATGAATTACCAGGGTAAAAAAAAAATCAAAAGCACACATCTATAAAAAGGCACACGCACTTATTATAGACATTCAACACCATGCCCAGCTCAGAATGACCATTATATAGTATAGAATTTTTTTGGCAGGGTAATGGGAAGTTGAGACAGGATCACATATAACCCAGGCTGGCCTCAAATTCACCATGTAGATAAGAACTTCTGACCTTGAACTTCTGCCACCTCCCCTGGCTTCCTGAAATATTTCATTTGTATTATTTGGTTTATCATTACAAATTAAAAGTGAAACCTCTCTTTTTGTTTGGTTTTGTTTTTAGAGGCAGGGTTTCTTTGTGTAGCCTTGGCTGTCCTTGAAATTGCTCTGAAGAGTCGGTGGCGGTAGCTCACGCCTTTAATCACAACACTCAAGAGGCAGAGGCAGGCAGATCTCTGTGAGTTTGAGGCCAACCTGGGCTACAGAGTGAGTTCCAGGAAAGGTGCAAAACTACACAGAGAAACCCTGTCTCGGGGAAAGAAAAAGAAAAAAAAAGACAGAAAGAAAAAAGAAAGAAATTGCTCTGAAGACCAGGCTGACCTCAAACTCACAGAGATCCTCCTTAATGGGATTAAAGGTGTGCACCACCACCACTTGGTTTTTTTCCCCCCTTTTTCTTTCTTTAAAGAGTATTATCATTCCTCTCAGCTCCAACAACACTGTCATTGTACCACATGATGGCTCAAAAGTGAATGCAGAGTAGCAGAAGGAAGTCACTAACGTCCTACATGCCTTGTGTATGGGGCGCTCTATGACAATCTCTGCAGCCCAGGGATGTGATATACAATAGCACAGGGCTGCTGCTGGCCATCCTCACCTGTCCTTACCACCTTCCAGTCCAGCCCACATGTGATGAGCCTGTTGAGACCGGTTCTGGCTCATTTCCAGCGAGCTGAGGAGCCCAGCAGATGGTCGTCAGAGTTAACACCAACCCTCAGCACAGAGGTGAATTCTCCACCTGCCCACCACTAATCAGACCCAGTGTTCTGGGTCATAAGAGGCAACTCCCAAAACTGGCACGTGGAACTTTTTAGACACCATAGTCCATCAGCATGGGCCCGACTCTTAAGACAATAATAAAAGGAATGACCGTGGAGACACTTCTAAGGAGCAAACACTAGGGCCTTCTGTCCTGGGAGTGACAGGTGCTCTCGCATGACCGTGAGGAAGCCTATGAACGATTCTCCTCTCAACCCCTCCCTCCCACCTGCTAGCCTTTCCCAGTGTCCCACCACATCCTGCAGCTTTACCTCTCTTTCTAGAAGAACCCTAGTCCTTAGCCTGAGTTCGGAGACTACCACAAAGGCTCCATGAAATGAGCACATGGGTAGTCTGTGATCCTAGGGGCCAGGCTGAGGTAGGAGGCCAAGCTAGGCAACTCAGCAAGACCCTATCTCAAATGGAACTCTAAAATAAGCAGAGGCTGTAGTAGTGAAGTGTTTGTCTGGCATGTGGGAGTCCTGAGTTTAATAGTACCACATTAAAAAAATTATATACAGAAAGAACCTTTAAGAATAAATATCTTAGCCTTTAATCCCAGCTCTTAGGAGGCAGAGGCAGGCAGACATCTGAGTTCAAGGCTAGCCTGGTCTATATAGTTGATGAGTTCCAGGACAGCCAGGGCTACACAGAGAAATCCTGTCTCAAAAGCCAAAAAAAAAAAGAATGAAGAACATCTTGCCATTTAAAACAATTTTAAGGGTCTGGCGAGTTGGCTCAGTGGTTATGGGCACTTGCTGCTCTTCCAGAGGATCCGGTTCAATTCCCAGGACCCATTTTAAAAACAAAACAAATAAGAATCCAGGGTATTATTTCAATGTCACAGAGAAACTCTGTCTCGAAACTACCACCCACCTCAAAAAAAACAATTTAAAGACACTGCACTTTCAGACACATTTCACAATTTAAAAACCCATGATTAAAAAGCGCAAGGGCCCAGAATTATTCCATCTGATGACATAAGAAGCTCCTGGATATCCAGCCACCAATATTGACTCACGTGTTCATAAAGGACTTACCAGGAATCTAGTCCTCAAATGACAGACATGTGGAGAGACCAGTCTATGGGGAACGAGTCTGAGAACCACTGCACAGCAGCTTCCTGTCTCCCTATGCCAACAGGGGAGAAATGCCACCCGCTGCTGATACCTGAGCAATCCGCACAGAGACTCTCCTCGGGAGGCACGTGAACGCCACTGCTGCCCTCACTGCCTTATCTCCCACGTTCGGGGAAGTCATGATGGTTACAGCATCCCAAAAGCACCCTAGTAGTCAGAACTCCCACCTTTCAGAAAACACTCAGCGATCTGACCAGCCACTCCAGTGCAAGTTTAAAATCTGCTTAACATATGTCCCGATAATGCTCTGTCCTTTACTCAGGCAGACCTCTCAGGACAAGGGGCAGAGAGCGGTGGGAGGGCCACCTACCAGCTGTCGTATGTACTCCTGAATGGAGTTTGGATAGACAAGCACGGTGATCGCAACCAAGGTATTCAGGGCAAAATCAAAGATCTGGTAACAGAAGAATGGGATGATCCACGCAGCATGTTGCTAAACACAAGGAAAACAGAATGTTAACGTGTTGGATTTAACTGGACTTTAGTCCACCAATCTGAAGGGACCTGGGACTGGCAGTCATTAAGCCATGACAGCAACTCGTATGCCAAGCTAGGGCAGTCAGGCAAAAATGGCCAGTGTTCATGATAACGTTGTTTCCCCAGCTTTCCTAGTACCACGAGGTATTAGAGATTTCTAAAGATTCTTGCAGAAAACTATGAATAACCCCACACTCTGAATAGGCAATCCCACAGGCTACTCTAATGCAGTAGTTCTCAACCTGTGGGTCGTGACCCCTGGGGGGGGTCAAATGACCCTTTCATAGAGGTCGCCTAAGACCATCAGAAAACACAGTTATTTATATTATGATTCGTCACAATAGCAAAATTAGTTATAAACTAGCAGTGAAAACAATTTTATGGTTGGGGGTCAGCACAGCCTGAGGAACTATATTAAAGGATTGCAGCATTAGGAAGGTCGAGAACCACCGCCTTGGTGGAAGGGCCTAAAGAAAGGTCTGGCACGTCACTGCAGCCACTTACCTTGTATGCTCCGTAAGTAGCCATTGCACATATCAGGATCATGAGGAGAGAGATTGCGATAGCAATGCACATATCTGGGGAAAGGTCAAAGGGGGCAGACACAATCAGATCCGCTACTGAATACACTGAGTTTCTCTTCAAAGTTATTTTGGTTATAAACCAACCAGAGGGGAAAACTTTATGCTGCATCAACCATCAGAGCTAACAAGTGCCCTGATGTTCTCCCTAAACCCTAAGCGACTGTATCGTTTGCTGCAGAGATACTGGTTACAGATACCAAGTTGGCCTTCTGGTCCACTAACTATAAATGCTCATCGTCGGTCATCCTATACTCACACAGGTGTCTATTTGCATCTTATACACTCATGCATATAAAACTTTTCATACCTTACTCATTCGTTTAAAATTAAAAATCTCAGTTTCTTTTCAAGACCCTAATGTCCAAAGTCAAGTGATTCCACCTCTCACCTCACTCCCCCAGTCGGGCCAGCTACATCACATAACCATGTTCAAACATCAGTATCCACTAGGCCTCACGCCTGCAGTCTCCTTCACTGTTTGTATGATCAGATTCCCTTCTCACTGACGTAGGTCCCAGGCAAAATCACCTCTTTGGAAAGCTTCCCCAAGCATCCCAGCTGGTATAGCCTCCCCACATGTGGAATTATCAATCTTATTCTAATTGTTTCTGGTGGTTGCTGATTTCTCTTCAGGTAAGAGGACACTACATCGTTTGCTACCACCATCATCCAGGTGAGAGGAATGGCCCTCTAGCAGCAACATGTGGGCACTGGGCACACACAGGGAGAAGCTCCAGACTCAGTTCTGAGGGTATAAAATACCTTATTAATGGCATTTATACTGATTACAATCATTGCAACCAATCTTGTTTTCCTGTTGCCTTTCATAACATGGCTACTGAAAACAACACGCTCACATACTCTTACTGCACAACTGGTCTGGAATGGTGCCTGAAGGTACTAGCCGGACACTTCTTTATCCAGGAAGCCTGTAGCATATGGTGCAGCCATGCCGCTAAGTCCTAATGCTGAGGGCACTGCAGTATCCTTCCCAGCTGAGGTAGATGCTGTTCTTACTGAACAGAGTATAAAATGAGGGCTTCTGAGATACTGTGCCTGTGACTAAATCTGCCATAGTGGTTAATCTTGATTGCCGATTTGACTGGATCGAGAAGCCCCCCCCCCCCCCCCCACACACACGCTGAGGTTCCCAAGGCAAAAATAGGAGAAAGGCCCCTAGAGCATGACATCAGTCCCCACTGCTGCGCTGCTCTGAACTGTGAGGAGAGGGGGGAGAGGGGAGGGGGAGGGGAGGGGAGGGAGAGGAGGGGGAAAACAGGGAAGGAAGAGGAGGAGAGAGGGGAGGGGAGACCTTCTGTATATTTAATAAGAAAAAATAGTTTTGGGCAGTGCCTTTAATCCCAGAACTCAGGAGGCAGAGCCAGGCGGATCTCTCTGAATTCGAGGCCAGCCTGGTCTACAGAGTGAGTTCCAGGACAGGCACCAAAACTACACAGAGAAACCCTGTCTCGAAAAAACCTAAAAAAAACAAAACAAAACAAAAAAAGTAGATTCAATAATCTCCCTTTTTATCTTATCATATCCTGAGTAGATCCAAAACTCTACCTTTTATCTTATCATGTCTATATCTTCCTTTTTTTTTTTTTTAAGAGCTGAGGACTGAACCCAGGGCCTTGCGCTTGCTCGGCAAGCGCTCTACCACTGAGCTAAATCCCCAGCCTATATCTTCCCTTTTTTTCAGAGTAGATTCAATGATCTACCCTTTTCAATATCCTCTTTTCTCTCTTTTTTTTAAAAAACAAGAACCCTATATATTTCTTTAAAAAAAAAAAAAAAAAAAAAAACACAAGAACCCTGTATCTAATCTCCTTTGTTTAGCTTTTTTTTTTTTGACCATTAACAATTAACAATTTGTAACCAACCATCGTAAACAATGACACTTATCCATAAGCCACTGAACCACCAAAAACCACCCACCCCACCTCTTGGGAATGTGGCGTTGTGTTCTTAAAATTACTTCCTGCTGTCTGAGGGTGAGGGCATCTTTAGGGGATCCTGAAAAGAAAAATTTTGGGTTCAGTGTCAAGTCCTGGGATAGGTAGCTGTATCATTTGTTGTCCAGTCTCTGCATAATGGGAAAGTGCGGGGCTTGTTTCAAGTACTTGTTGAGTAGTCTATGAGGCTGGATCATCTCAGCTAGCCATCTCTAAATTGTCCTGAGCAGTTTGTAGTCCAAAGAAGATCCTTAGGTGGTGTTAATCAGCTTAATGGCTTCATCATAGTTCACGTGGAATCATCATTGTGGGATCCCATCATCCTTCGAAGATTTCAAAGTTGCTGTTAGGCATGGTCATGGTTCCCTGGAGATTTTTTTCTTTTCTTTTCTTTTTTTTTGGTGCCTCCTCTGTGGTTTGGAGCAATCAGTCTGATAAATATCTTTTTCTCAGAACCACGAACGTTCTTCCCTAGAAGAGAATATCTTCACAGCAATTTCTTCTCCCTGCCACTTGCCTTGCCAAACTTCTCCAAACTGACCTTTGTCAATGCTTTCTTGTAACTCGATGGTCCTGGCAAGTGTTCTCTGAACAAGCATCAGTAAACCTTTCATCCCCAGTAACAGCGTTGCTGCCGTCATCAACATGATGAAAAGCAGCTGGCAACTCGGAGCAGCAGCCACTGTCTCCATGGTCCCACTGCCACTGTTTGTGGCTCAGCCCCGGCCGCAGCTTCTCAGCAAGCCTCCTAGGCTGGCTTCAAACTCGGGATCCTCCTGCCTCTGCCTCCTTCAGCAAATCTTACTAGCGTGCGCTACCACAACCAGCCGAGTGCAGCTCGGGTCTGAGCTGGGGACTGCAAGGCCACAGGCAAAAGGCTTTCTCGAGAATTAGTACCCGACAAGTTGGGTGCCAGATGTAGGACGAATCTAAAAAGATCTTATTAATAAAAACAAACCCGGAGCCAGATATTGGAGTGAATGCTGGAAGATCAGAAAAACAGTACAAAAAGCCACAGCCAACCTTACCTTGCCAATTCCTCAGCAGATCTTGTTTCCTCAGACTGAAAGCTTCTGAGTCCTCACCCGAATGGATCTCAGCTGAACTGCTGCTAAAAGTCTCAAAGCTTAACAAGACTCTAGTTCCTAGTCCTCACGTCTTATATACCCTTTTTGCTTCCTGCCATCACTTCCTAAGATTAAAGGCGTGAGTCACCATGTCTGGCTGTTTCCAGTGTGGCTTTGAACTCACAGAGATCCAGATGGATGTCTGCCTCTTGAATGCTAGGATTAAAGGTGTGAGTGACACCATTTTCTGGCTTCTATGTCTATCTAGTGGTTGTCTGTTCTCTGACCCCAGATAAGTTTATTAGGTACATAATATATTGGGGGGACACATTATCACCACACAGCCTATTATAGGATATTCTTTGACTATTTCCAAGATCTTTAGAGAGACAAATAATAAGTATTCAGACAGGAAAGTAAACTAAAAAGCTTTATTCAAGAAATGAAGATATTAATATACACTATACAAACCTTAGTAAGAACAGTGGTGTGTCCTATGGGGGGGGGGGGCATACTCCAGCCATCCCCTTGATGAGAGTCATAGGTTCAAACTTCGTAATTTTTATCTTTATCAAAGAACATAAACCCAAGGAAATTTAAAAGGTAAAAACAAAAGCCATGAAATGAAGTACACTCTGAGCACTCACATAAGTTAAAGATGGGGAAATTTTGGAAATCCTATTTCTGTAAGTACTTCTTCCAACTACTCTGCACAAACTGGCTATATCCCAAGCACTTGAAGAAGCTTACATAGACCCAAATTGTAAATCATAACACAGAGCAGGTAAGATGAAAATGGGCTATATACCATTTCCAGTAATCCAGCACATCTCCCAACCCACAGAAATAATACAGTATCAACAGTAAATAAGAGTCCCTCTGAGGAATCAAAGTGCATTCCTCCCTAGGACTCACAGGACAGCTCAGTAGTAGAGTGCTTGCCTAATGTGAACAAGGCCGTGGGTGCAATCCCAAGCATAAGCCGTCCAACAGCTGACCCTGTCTAATAACGGGATTCCCTGATCAATAGTAGCTCTGGCCGATGCCAGGCCCACTCTCTGCAGAGCAGCCTCCCCACCTCAACATCAGAGCACACTATATCAAATTATTCCCTAAACTAAATTCCTGCTTTAATTATGCAGTTCTAATGTGAAAAGGATCCTAAAAAAAGCTATACCACAGGTACAAGAGGCAATTAGAAAATGTTTCCTGGACTCAATTAGTCACGGAGACAGCACGGGCACATAAAAGCTACCTGAAATACCTGTGTTCAACTCATCTAATTCTGTTCCCGCCACCTCCTGACTGTTTACTCCTCAGAAGGCTGGCAACTAACTCACTACCTAGGTTCAGGTTCCCATATCTTGTTTCATCAGACTCCTTTTACATCTAGGTCTTCTCTAATTTCTGGCCACATTGCTGGCACCACCGCACACGAAAGCAAACACTATCAGTCATCACAAAGTGTAGGAACTATTATTATTTGAGCTCTCAATGGTACGTAGGTCCTCAGAAGAAAATGCAAACCCTTCAAACCTCATGGTGAAGACTAAAAGGCCCAGGCTTACACCCCGCTTTGGGGGCTGCAGAGGGTGAAAGGTCAGGGAGGAACAAGCAGTAAGATACTAATTTCATCGCCCGAACAGAAGAGTTGAATACTTTGAATTTGTTGATTGTTTATAACTTCTCATTGAAATATAAAATTCACCCCAAAGAGGGATTTTGTAACTTGCTAATTTTATGCTTTTAAACAACATTTACCTAGTAGGTTTAACCTAGTTTATGATAAGCTGCAAAAATTAACAGGATGTTGTCTTTGTTCTCAAGTCGATAATTAGCTATTACGGATGGGAAGAGAGGGAGGGATTCTGGGAACAAATGGAGGGCAACTCAGACAGAGGAGGGGATTGCTAAAGAATTAACATGTGTAAGCTCATGGCTTTAGTACATTCATAAAGCTGCATGGCCATCA